ATTCAATGGCCCTGTGTGCTAGACAGTGGGCGAGAAACTAGAGACCAGAACTGAATGAGATCCAGCTCCATCTGGGAACGCACATTCTAGGCAGTAGATAAATGTACAAACAGTGCAGCATGGTGGGCACAGTCCCATCTTCAGGGAGCATAAGAAATAAGGCACCCCTGGTGTTGCTAGAGCCTCTGTTGTAAAGAGCCAGACAGTACTGATCCTCTGACTAGACCGCAGCTCAAGGAAAGGCTTGTGCCATATTCTTCTGAGTGTGTGCTGGGCTACTAGGTCCCTGAGCGGATGAGAATGGGTGAGTGTCTATGTCACATCAAGGAAAGGCAGAAGGTCCACCATCCTGACCTCAGCCAGCCAGCGTGTGAGGGAACTGACCCTGGCAGCCAGGTCCGGCTCCCTGAACAAGCTGCTTCTCTCCGCTCCACAAGGGGTTGTCTCCGATGGGTCAGAGGCCTGTCAGCATCATAGAAAAGGACTAAAGCAGAGACCCTAAGAGAAGAGAACATGTCTCCCCATGAAACAATAAGGAGAACAAAAGGTAAAAGAATCTGATCAAGTCTAGAGAAGAGACACCTAGGAAGACAGGAGAACTAGTTCACTTGGATGAGACTTAAACAGGTCCTCTAAGGAATGTTGTTTCAGGGAGGTAAAAAGGCAGAGGAATCCTGGCAAAAAAGTGCACCAACAACACAGATTCCAAGGCAGGATGAAGATACAGGACATGGACAGATGGCTCCTGTCACAGAAACAAAGGGAGGTATAGATGGGCAGCAAGATGGCTCCAGAACACAGAAGGCTGTGAACACAGCCTGCAGAGCTCAGCCAGAGTCCCTGGAAGTTCTGGGACCAATAAATCCCCACTGTGTTCACCTCCTGTGAAATGAGAAAGGTCGCCAATTTGTGAGAAAACTGAGTGTCCTTGTCCTTTGATGAAGAGATGTGAGAGTTGGGTTTTACAGAAATGGTCATGGATTGCCTGGCCTCCCCTGAAGCAGCCTAGGCAACGTCTGAAAACCACTTGGTTGGAAGAAACTTCTCTTTATGCTTAGTAATTCAGGGTCAACATGACCACCCAACTATCCACCAGCCACCCAAAGAGGGCAAGCTAACATTTCATCAAAGAAAATTGTCAGTGTAGACTTATAAGCAATCTGCAGTGTGTGTGTGTGTGTGTGTGTGTGTGTGTGTGTGTGTGTGTGTGTGTGTGTGTGAAGTTGCAAAGACTAGCAAAAAACCAAAAGGCTGGAAGTCTTTTAAGAAAGCTTTTCTACTGCCCCCAGGGGACAGGCTGGCCATTTCCAATTCCAATTATCACATCCTGAGATGCTAGATCCTCCATTATTCATAGGTGGCCCCAGTCCCTCCTCCCCCTTTGGGAACGCCTTCTCTTGGCAAGGCCTGGTGCTTCTGGAAAGCTTTAGACATGGGAGCCTCTGAGGCTCTAGGGACCCAAAACCCTGTACATTCAAGTAAGAAAACTGGTCACTAAAGAATCCCCAACAAGAAATTCGAGTTGTTCTGTCTCCAGCAGACTTTCTTCCCTTCAAAGGGTCTCCCCTCCGAGTGCTCTTCCCCATGCTGTACCCTTTCTTTTTCTTTGGATGGGTGGAGAGATTTAGGGTTTTTGGTTAAACAGTTTTCTGCCTATAGAAATCAAAGTTAAGGCCAGGCCTATAATAGCAGTACTTGGGAGACTGAGACAGGAGGATCACTGGGAGTTGAATGCCAGTCTGGGCTACCTAAGCAAGTTCAAGAACAGCCTCAACTACATAGCAAGACCCTGCTAAAAAAAAGACAGACAGACAGACAGACAGACAGACAGACAGACAGACAGACAGACAGACAGAGAAATCAACATTAATAAGAGACGATGATGAATCAACAGAAAATATTGCCATCCATACTGAATGGCACAGACTGACTAGAATTATATCAAAGACAAACATCTAGTTTCTGAATGGTAAGAGCTGAAAAGACGAATCGGACTTGGGAAAACACACCCAAAGGGATTGGAGAGCTCAGCCTAGATACTATATCTAAGCTATATCTATTAGTCGCTTATTTATCTATTTATTTATGTATTTATTTGAGACAGTTTTGTGGGGGTTTTTTGTTTGTTTGTTTGTTTTGTTTTGTTTTGTTTTGTTTTTGTGGAACCAGGGATTGAACTCAGGTCCTTGTGCTTGCCAGGGAAGCGCTTATTCCACTGAGCCATCTCCCCGGGCCCTTGAGACAGATCTTGCTATATAGCTTGGACTGCTCTTCAGCTTTGCAATGATCCTCCTGCCTCAGCCTCTCAAATGCAGGGGTCCCAGGTACACCACCACCTTCTCCTTCTCCTTCTTCTTCTTCTCCTCCTCCTCTTCCTCATCCTCCTCCTCCTCTTCCTCCTCCTTCTTCTTTTCCTTTCTCTTCTTTCCTTTTTTTGTATGATGACAGCAAACTTTTATTGAAGGTAGGAAAAGAAGCAGGCTGCAGAACAAGTTTGGGGCAAGTAAATGTTGAAGAAGAAGTACATCCTACAACATGAGGTGGGGGCACATACAAGACAGAACACAGTGACTCCAACTTTGTTTTAGTTATTGATAAAGAAAACCCTATGAATCTTTATTTTATGTATACACTGCCCCTGATTAAAGATTCTTTGACCTATAATTTCTATATTTTATGATAGTGTGAAATTAATATGTATTTGGCAGACACTGTACTTTGACTTCTGAATTTTTGGTCTTTTCCCAGGCTAGTGATTTGAAGTAAGATTCTTTTCCACAGTGCTGGGCAGCAGGAATGAGCTGCAGCTTCCAGTCAGCCCAACAATCACAAGAATAAGCAACCACTATTGGGCCATGTGGTTCTGTTGGCGTATTAAATGCATTTTTTAAAAATGCATTTTCCACTTAACGATATTTTCAGAACAGATGTAACCCCAACTTGAAGAGCATCTGTGTATGGAAAACAGTCTCAAATAACCTAAGTGAGCTTTGAAGAGAAAGCGGTAGAGCCAGGATTTGAACCAAGTCATCTGAACTTGAAAGCTTTGTCCCTACCTTAGGCATCTTCTTGTCACAGGATTTCATAGATGATCGTGTCTGGGAGATGATGGGAGAGAAAGCAAGTCTTTTCTATGGGCCCCTGAAGGACTGTTTTGATTTTAGGCAAAATTGGAATTCTACAACTGAGTTTCTAGCCTCAGCTTGGATTTCATGCCTACATCAGAGAAGAAAGTTAGTGGAGAAGCAAGGTTGAGAGAGAAAGACAGACCTGCTACCTTTTCTTCTTCTTCCTCCTCCTCCTCTTCCTCTTCCGCTTCTTCTTCCTCTTCCTCTTTCTTCTCCTCCTCCTCTTACTCATTCCAAACTGCTGAGCCCATATTGGAAGCTAGACTCCAAACCAATCAAATTTAAATTTGGGCACACTTCCACTTCCACATTGAAGTGCCCATGAGGATTATGTGGATCAGCTGGCAGCCAACGCTGCAGCTCTTACCCAGTTATTCTCTTAGACCCAGAACAATAGATATAAACCCACCACCTATGACCTAAACCTGTATTTGCAAGACTATCCTCCAGTGTATGCAATACTTGAGGAAGTGGGAAGGGGACCCCTAGCCCAAGAGAAATGCTACATCATAGTCCAGGAGGAAGCTGCTTCCCATCTATGAATACATCTGCTACGAAAAGTCCTTACCCTCCCCCTACCTTGCCAACATGTGTCCCTGGTATGTGCTGGACAGGATATTCCCTTTGGTATGCAGATTGACATACTCCTTCTTTAGAAGTAACAGCTGTCCTATGGCTAACCAAGAACAAAAAGAGAACATGCAGGAGCTCCTCTCCATGGCTACACAAGATCAGTTGATGAAAGAGAGAATTCATCAATCACACACGTTATAAGAGGGCCATGACTTTTGGAAAGCCTGGGAATCATTCAAAAATGAGCTTGAGACTAGATCAGAAATCAGAGATCCAGCAAAGATCACCTTTATCTGGGCCCTGAATGGCAAAATGGGAAGTAAGGGACACAAAGATGAGGAAGACCTGTGGCCATTGAGGAAAAGAGACCCCAGCTGAATTCAAGCTGATGTCCTCCATCTAGAAGACAGAATTCTGAACCAAAGGATCTTTTCTTTTTTTTTTTTTTTTTTTAACTTTATTATTTATTTATTTATTTATTTATTTATTTTGTGTGTGTGGCCAGCTCAGCCCACCAGGGGGCAGGGCTGGCTGGCATGTGGTGCTGGGGGATTGAACCGTGGTCCCTGTGCTTTGTTTAGCTTAGTTTGTTCTAAGTAGGTGCCTTAGACCACTGAGCCATCTCACCAGCCCCTGAACCAAAGGATCTTTAAGATCAACTGTATCGAGTCTTTTTTTTTCCTTTTAACATATTTAGTACAGGAACTACAGGGTCTCACTACACAGATCTGGCTCATAGTGATTCTCCTGCTTTCAGCCTCCCAGGCGCTGGGATTAGAGATGTGCGCCACCACACCCAGTCTCAGTCACCATCTCAGCATGGCCCAGGGCAGGGCTGGCACAGCACACCTAAGCAGGTGCTTTAGTCTGCTGAGCTATCTGGCCAGCCCTGTAACAAGTCATATGATAGTAAGTAAAAAGTATTGGAAAGTCACATTTCCTACTAAAAGTTGAATCAGTGGTTGTCCACTTTGGTGACTTATGAGCATTAGTTTTGAAAAAGACAGACATAGAGGCTCTCCTAGGGACTCCAAATCAGGTCTATCACGAGGCCAGCAAGGAGTCACCAGCACAGCCAGTACCCACTGGAAGGAAAAAGCACTGAGTTCCCTCCCAGAGCGCAGACCCCACTTCCCACATGTTCGCCCCCTAACCATTTCCAGGATCGAAACCAGCCCCAGCCCGCTGCATCAGTGTGCAGCTCTCCCCCAGAACCTCGGTTCTCCCCGGAGGTCCACATAGCCAACTCTACTTGCCCCACTGCCAAGGCATAAAAATAGACAATTTTAACAAACCACATTTACTTAGGGATAATTTATCAGACGAATCAATTGGCTTGGTTTAAATTTCCGTGGTTCTTCTCAGCAGCGCATCCACAAACAAGTGTCCACATGAAGAGTCTGGTCGATGGAGGGCGTGAGGCCACTGCAGTGGCTCAGCCAGCTTGCCTGGGGCCACAGTCCCACTCCCAGGGCCAAGTCCACAAGCTCCCTTGTCTCATCTGGCTGGATCCTCCACAGCTGTCCAGTCTGCCTGCCAAGCTCCAAACCCTCCACCTTCAGCCCCTCACCCAGGACATCTGGGAGGCAGGCATCTGAAGTAGCCAGTGCAGTGGCTCAGGACACGCAGAGGACAGAGTTCCTGCCACCACATGATGAAGAGAGCTCTTCTATCTTCTCAAAAAGTTTAATCTGTTTTGGGAATTTCAAAAGTTGCCTTTCTTCAGTGTAGTTTACTTGGATTTGACCTTAGAGAGGGTTGAGCTGGATGCTGTGAGGGAAGGGAAGAAAGACAAGGGACACCTGTGAGAGGCAGCACAGGGAGGAGGATGTGGCTCAGCAGTAGAGCACGTGCCTAGTACACACAGGGCTCTGGGTTCAATCTCCAGCACGCCTCTCCCCAAAGCCCCCCACCAAATCTCAATAACAATATCAGCTGCCACTCTCTCTTCTCGTGTGCCTGGCCTAATACTGAACTTCACGTGTATCAGCCTGGGCAGATAGGTACTGTTATTCCCATTTAAGGATAAGGAAGTGGAGGCTTAGAGAGGCTAAGTTATCTACCTCTAAGTTAATATGTAGCTACCAGGTGATAGCATTGGAATTTGAACCCCAGTCCAACACCAAAGCCTACAGTCTTAACCACTGTGTGCACAGATTTAGAAAGCTTTGTGCTGCCCTTTGGTATCCATAGAAGATTGTTTTCAGGGCCAGTGAGAGCCCAGTGGACTAAACACCTGCTTAGGCAAGTGCAGGGACTGGGATTTGATCCCTGGCAACACATGCTGCACTCGCCCCACCCTCAGGCACACTGAACCACCGAGTCGTAGTGGTACATGTCTGTCATCCCAGTGCAGAAAGGCTGAAAACAGGAAGATTGCTACAAGTCCAAGCTGCGTAGTAAGACCTGTACCCAATACATTAAAAAACAAAAATTGGTTTCAGGAGCCCTGTACACATCAACATCCAAGTTCCTTATATAAAATGGGTTTTGCCTGTTTGTTTGTTTGTTTGGCAGAACCAGGGATTGAACTCAGGCCCTTGTGCTTGCCAGGCAAGTGCTTATTCTACTGAGCCATTTCCCTGCCCCCCCCCTTATATAAAGTGGAATAGTAACTGCATGTAACTGGCACACATTTGTCAACTCTAGAAATGACCTGACATCATTTCCAGAGTATTCATAATACCTTGCACAATGTGAATGCTGTACAGATAGTTGTAGACTATACTGTCTACAGAATACTAACAAGGGGAAAGAAGTCTGCATATGGTCTTTATAGATGCAATATTTTTCCAAATATTTTCCATCTGTGGTTGGTTAAATCCATAGACACAGAAACCCTGGATATGAGGCCCAATTATACATTTATGTAAATTTAATAACGTCAACAACAGTAACAATAGAAGTCAAAGGTTCTCGATCCTCACCCCTGCATCCATCGGAGTTCACCTCTGTAATTCTGTAATTGAGATCTGAAACAAGTGACCCATGGACCAGGATTTGCCCACAGGTTTATTTAACCTGGCACATAGTGTTTTTTAAAAAAGACTTGGACCAGCATGATGGCCACCGGGCTGCTGGTGCAGGCCCCTCAGGGACAAAGGTGCTGTTACGTCACAAGCACCTGGCACAGCATGTGGGGAGGGGAGCTGCACAGGGCACTGTCACTCCATCATTTCCAACTCAAGACTTTCTGCTGACACACTCAGCAGTAGCCTTGTCAGCCACTCTCTGTACGGACCAGAATGACGCTGGCAGCGTACCGGAGCATTATGCGGCAGTAATAGGAAAAGGATGTAGAGGAAAATGACTCTATTCAACAACAACTTCAGGGCAGGACTAATGTTTCACTCAGTGGAATGAGGCCAGGTCTCTGACCTCACACTCCCCTGGCAGGCCTTTCCCTGCTGCAGTCAGCTGGGAGTCATGCATTCATCACTCACAGCCCATCATCCCCTAGGCACAGGGTCCAGCCTTCCTGGACCTAGCAAAACACTGCTCCTTCATGGCTGGATGCCTACAGCTAGTCTACAAAGAGAGCTATTGCCAGCCGACTCCTTTTGTCCCTACCCCTACTCACTGTGTGCGCAGGTTCCTTTTCTTGGTGCTGTACTCCCCTGGAAAACCACAGAAGTGCGAACTAAAAGAGAGCCTAAAGCACACTCTATACTCACTGCATGGCAGTTAGATTATTTGAAAGTATTTCTAAGGCATTGTTAAGGTTTTATGGGGTGCTGCTAGATGTTCTTCTAAAACCTCATGGGGCTGGTGAGATGGCTCAGTGGTCTAAAGCACCTACTTAGAACAAGCTTAGCAAAGCACAGGGACCGCGGTTCAATCCCCCAGCACCATGCCAGCCAGCCCCGCCCCCTGGTGGGCTGAGCTGGCCACACACACACACACACACACACACACACACAAATAAATAAATAAATAAAAAATAAAAATAAAACCTCATGCTGTCATAGAGTTTTTTCAGAGGTGGCTGAGTCTAGAGTATATGGTTGATTCAGAGTACAATGCTGAGATTAAGGGTACTGGGATTAAGAGAGGGTGATGGCTGGATCAGTCCACGGATTAGATTAGCACAGCCCTAATCCTGGTAGACTGGATACATTATAAGGAATAAAAAGAGGCTGTCTCTGACTCCCTCATTGCTTCTGCTGTCTTCCACCACCATGAAGGGCTGCCCTCTGCCATGTGCCACCCCTCCTCAGAGCCAGCTGAGTACGGACTGAAACCTCTACAAGCTGTGAGCTAAATAAACATTTCCCTCCTTAATTCTGGGTGTTGGATATTTTGTCTCAGCAACAAGAAAAGTAACTAAGGTGAATACAGAATTTAAAAGCCTATGAGTAGAAAGGACTCGTACTTTGACCTTTTAATAGAACAAAAACTGCCAGATTTGTCCAAAGAGCCTAACACGTTCTCTTTCCTAGGCCTTGGGCTAGTAAGGCAAAGACCTCTCCCTACTCCCAGTGAAGCCTGTGCTTTATCATCTTTCTCTCTGGGGATGATTTTAATCCTCAAGACCAATTGTGAAGGAAAGTTTGAGGTACACTTCTACTCAGAAAGGCTAGTTTCTTCAACTTTCCTAGAACTGAGGTAAACCTCAAAGCCAGCCAGATGAGCTGGCCAGGCCCAAACCTTCCCAGCTCCTTCCAGCAGGGGGCCTGGCACCATCCTCACCATGACCATGTAGGTGGCGTCTGGTTTTGCACTTGGTTCTTCTTCTACTGTCTCCCATGTAGTTACTGAGGAGTAGACATGTTTCTAGAGGAGAAGAAAAAAATGGTACAAAGCTCCTAAAAATTAGGCAAATCTCACAGACGAAGAGAAAGTCCTCTTAACTGCTCTTCATAGGCATCAACTACCCGAACCAGTAAGCTTGGAGGGTTACTAAGTGCTAGAGAATTACCATCAAAAGTGGTAATTCAGTCTTCAGTCTTCCTGAAATCAACTTGGCAGCAAAGATCACAGCATAAAAGTCAAAAGCTGAAGATGTTTCCTTCCCTGGACCCTGAGTTAGCATCAGTGACCCCTTATCCTGCTAAATTATGTGTACTTTGTGGACATTTTCTTCTAATTAGGATCATGCTATGATGGCATTCGTCAGAAGCTAACTACCATCTCTGAGGGGGTCTGTCCAGCAGGGGCAATACTCCCTGAGTCTCACGTCTTGAGGTTGGTGACACTTTGTGATCACAGTCCTGTCACTCCCTGGGAAAGTAATGCTGTCCAGTGACAACTTTAGGGGCTTCTGAAAGAACCTGTGTGATGTTGGGGGCGGGGCTCTTACTCTTGGGCTAAAAGCAGTGCAAAAGATAGAAAGGTAGGTAGGTGTTCAGAAAGGAGTTTTTTTAAAGGTTAAGAAAAGAAAGGGAGAGATGAAGAGGAAGGGAAATTAATACATACCCACTCCCTATTTATAACTCCATTACAAACAAGTATGGAGGAAGAAGTCCTTTTTGGTCAGCTCTTTGGAAAAGTCCCTGAATATTTCATCTAAACCATTAACTCCTCCATCGCCCAGGGAGGGCATCGATCGCACTTCCCCTTTGCATTTACTCAGCACCCTGTGGATTCTGGGGCACTTGCCTACTGTCATTTCACTTGAACTTTGTAACACCACCGAGGCAAGCAGGGCAGATATCTGCATCCTCATCCTCGTGTTGCTAGCAAGGCTCAGGGAGCTGGCTGCACCTTCCAAGTCCGAGTATAGCGCTCCTTCCTCAGTCCCCCAGGACCTGTGGCCCAAGACTGGCTCAGCCTGCCCTGCCCCTCCACGCTCATCAGAGGGCCCACTAGAGTCTTCCTGAGTTCCTGCCGCAACCCAGAGATCTAGGCACTGCCTGCAAGCTGAGACAGTAAACCCGCACCCCAGGGAAGCAGGGAGGCTCTGCCCTGCATCTACCCAGAGTTCTCAGGCAGCAGCAAAAGGCAGCGCTGTCTTACCTCCAGACTGGCCTTCCTTGTGTGCTCCAGGCTTTTCACTGAGGTGGTAGAACTTTCTGATCTGCAAGACATGAAAAGCACAGGGAATTAACCAGCAGTTGCATTTACTTAAATGTGTCCCTAGGACCCACTTGGCTTTGGGAAGAGTCACCGGGGAGAAACTCCTGCACTTCTAACAAAGGGCAAGAAGCTACTAGGCTGAAAAACAGCTTCAGCTTCTCCCCTGTCACTCTAACAACTTCATATCCATAATAAAAGGTATAATTTTAAGTGACTACGAATGTTGAGAGGACACTGGATTTATCAGCCTGTTGACATTTCTGAGCACCAGGAAGACAATCTGAACCAACAGGGGGCAGCACATGTTCAGCAAGACTCCAGGTCCAAGGGAATGAAATTATCCAAGCCCATTATCCCAGTGCCCCACCCAGAAAGCTCTGGCTCTCCCTGCGGGGCCCTTTGCCTTTGACCTCTTGACCATTTGCCAGCTGCATTTTCCACTAAATATACTTTGTTCTTTTCTTCCCCTCTTACTTTCTCTGTCTCTATCTCTGTGTCTATCTCTGTCTCTGTCTCTCTTCCTTTGTTCCTTTGTTTCTTTTTTGTATCTTGGCCCCCAAGGCAGAGATTTTAACAAAGGAAAAGAAGAAAGGATGGAAAAGAAGGAAGAAAATTAGCTAGAAATAAACCTTTTTATTTCAGTGCTACAGAATGAACCGCGGAGGACCGGGGAGAGAGCTCAGCAGCACAGTGCTTGTCTGGCAAGTGCAAGGTCCTTAGTTTGATTCCCAGAATGAAAATTAGAGAGAGAGACAGAAAGAGACAGAGACAGAGACAGAGACAGAGACAGAGACAGAGACAGACAGCGACACAGAGAGAGACAGAGAAAGAGAGAAAGAGAGAGACAGACAGAGACAAACAGAGAGACAGACACAGATACAGAAACAGAAAGACAGAGACAGAGAGACAGAAAGACAGAGACAGACACAACAGAGACAGAGAGAGACTTAAGCCTGGGCATGGTGGCACACGCCTGTAATCCCAGCACTTGGGAGATGAGGTAGGAGAATCACTGAGTTTGAGACCAGCCTGGGAAATAAAGTGAACTGAAAACAAGCAACAATTGCATAGTGAGACCTTGTCTCAAAAAAAAAAAAAAAAAAAAAAAAAAAAAACTTTGGGATTATAAGTATAGGCCACCATGCCCAGCAGAAACTATATTTTTGTGTCAAAGAAGAATAATAGTTTCTGTTTGTAAAGTTGTATATTCTCATTGTAAAATAAATCAAATACAGAAATAGAAGTTGAAGTTGCCCTTTACCCCCACAAGATCTAGCTTCTTTATCTTAAATACTATCCATTAAAAATTTAGTGTTTAGGGCTCGGGAGATAGCTCAGTGGACTAAGTGCCTGCTTTGGCAAGCTCAGGGACCAGAGTTCAATTCTGGACACTGCATACCACACCAGCCCCATCCCCGGGTGTACTGAGCCAGGCACCAAGTCAGGGCATGGTGTCACATGCCTGTAATCCCAGTGCTAGGAAGGCTGAAAACATGAGGATCACTACGAGTCCAAGCTATGTAGTGAGACCCTGTACCAAATACATTTTTTTTTTAAAAAAAATTAGTGTTTAGGGGCTGGGGAAGTAGCTCAGCGGCGTAAGTGGTTGCCTGCCAAGCACAAAGTCCTGAGGTCCATCCCAGGTACAAAAACAAACAAACAAAAAAATAGTGCTTAGCATAGCTGTTCCTAAAGTAAGCATCACATAACTTTCTTTTTATAAAAACGGGATCGCACTATACATTCCATATCACTACCCCTTGGGTATCATTCCACATCTTTCTATGAAGGCTTGTGTGGTATCCCACTGAATGAAATACCTAGGCAGTGAGTCAAGTCTTTCTGACAGACACTTACAGTGAGTGCACTTTCTGATTATAGGTAGATATGTTTATGCGTAAATCGCAGCGTGACAGTCTGATTATCTCTGTAAACCACTGGACCTGGAAATGTTACCCATCACTGGGAAGGAAAGAGAGGCCCAGGGGGGAAATAAAATGACGGTGAAGCCCACATTGTCTAGCTCTGGGTTCTGCGCTCCTAACCAGCCCAGAACAAAGGCCCTCGCGGAGGCCAACCAAGTTCAGGCCAAATCACAAAAACCTGGGGACTGGAACTTCCAGCCTCACAGGCACAAGTGCCTTCTGTGGAACTCACATTGCCCCCAGGTCACCCCAGAGTCAGTGCCGCAGGACTGACTCAGGGGTAGAGTACTTGCCTAGCATGAGTAAGGCCTGGGTTTGACCCCCAGTACAAAAAAACAAAACAAAACAAAACGAAGTCAGCATTGTTTAGTTTCAAAGAGCCCTTTCCTACTAATGTGATTTCAACAAAGGATCCACTTGCCTGCCGACATGCTTCCCCAGCAGTTGGGTAGACTGAAGGACCTGCCGACAGCGAAAGAAACTCTGACATCCATGTCAGTGCATCTGAGCATTTCTTCTTTTTGTTTGGTTATTTTTTTGTGACAAGGTCTCTATCATGCTGGCCTTTAGCTGACTTCATAGACTGGGTTGGTTTCAAACTTGCAGTGATTCTCCTGCCTCAGCCTCCCAACTGCTAGGATTACAGATCTGCACCTCCAGCCCCAGCACTCTCATCTGGGCATTTCTGAGACCCCTGGCGAAGTTAGGCTTTTGGCCTGGCATGGTGATGCACGCCTGTAATCCCAGCCCTGGGAGGCTGAGACAGGAGGATCACCATGAGTTTGAGGCCAGGCTGAGCCTCATAGTGAGTTCTAATACTCTTTTTTTTTTTTTTAGGGATTGAACTCAGGCCCTTGTGCTTGCCAGGCAAGCACTTATTCTACTGAGCTATCTCCCAGTCCCCTCCACATAGTGAGTTCAAGGCCCACTTGAACTGCATAGTGAGGCACTGCCTCAAAAAATATAAAGAAAAGAAACTGGGCCTTTAAAAATACTTTTCAACAATAATTTATTTAGAACCACATCCAGTCCCCCCCCCCCGCCTAAAAAAAAAAACCTCTCAGAATTAGAATGGAGTCCTTTAAATAAAATTGTTGGCCATTCTCAATATCTGAACACATATTGTGTAGCTAATTTAAGAATCAGTTCTCTCAGGCAGTGAATGGCACCCTTATCATTCTTGCATAAGATTTATATTCTTAATCATGCTCCAGTTAGACCTGCATTTGTAAAGTTTATATAATATAAGGTGAATGAAGACCATGTAAGACTGTCTAAGTCTTTTCAGAGGTATTTGGAGCAAAGGGGCAGAGCTACCCACAGTGACATCTGTTAGAATCCAAACAATTCCATTTTTAAATGCCCCAGTAGGGCCTTCTCATTTTTTTCCACTTTGAATTAGAGGCAGTCCTGCCCCACCCCCAGCCTCCCAACCCAAGGGCTGGGCCAGCCTGTACCTCTTTTTCCTGGAAGTCTTCTTCGCAATCACTATACAACCAGTGAGCAGCAGGACAGTGGCGCAGACAATGGCCACGATGATCACCATGTACTTTCCTCCCAGGATCTCAGGCCTAGAGGTTGCTGGAAAAGGGGAAGGGCCATGAGTCTCGGTACCCCCGAAAGGGCTGCAAGCCTCCCCCAGTGCTATGCCATGCAGCAGCAGCCAGGTCAGGAGACATAGGGAGAAGCCCAGACTCCACCACACCCTGGGATACAGCGGACACTGTCCTCACCACAGTGAGGCCCTAAGTCTGACCCCACGCTTATCCCTAAAACATAGATGAAAGCGGATGGGAAAGGGGACTAGTGTCTCACCTATAGGAGAGTTCTCTTTTGCATCAACAATTTTATCTTAAATTTTGGTTTACTAAATGACCTAGAAATAACAGTTATTTTAAAGGTTGCTGACTCTTCTATGGGCAAGTGACTGTTTTTAAAAGAATGCATGCTGCCACAATCATGACTCCATTCGGGTCTTTAGGTCACTTCCACCCTCGTGGCTTAAACACACCCTCCATGCTGGACAGCCCTATAACAGTAGATGCCAAAAAGGACGAAGGATGCATTGCCTCTGCCTCTGAGGAAGGAGACAGGCATGCAAACAGAACACCACCAGCTGCTGCAAGTGCCATAGCAGATGTCTATGCAGGATGCAGAAGGCCACAGAGAAAAGGAAACCTGAGTCTAGGCAGAGCAAAGAAGGAGAATCTGCCCTCATTTCTTCTGAGTCTTTAAACATGAGGCAATATGGGGAAAGGCAGGAGGGAACTTACAGGAGCCTTGAATAGCTTGGTAGGTGTGGTGTAAAGGTACGTGGGGGATTTGGCTGGAGAGACAGTGTCATTCAGTCTGAAAGGAATCTGATCCATCCCAAGATCAACCTCCAAAAGCTCATCTCCTAAAGGTCACTTTTTCTCCCTTAAGCAGTGGAGAAACTGCTGCAAGACTAAAGCAGTGGAACAGAAAGCTCTGACTTGTGATTCAGAAAGATAGGACTGTCTAAGAATGGCTACAGAGGCTGCTGAGAGGCCCACAGACAGAGAAAGACGTTGTTCACTGAGATGATGGTGAGGAACTCAAAGGGAAATGGCTGCAGACGTCGGTAGTAGGAATGACTGGTCTTGGTGAGTGGTAGAAACCAACAGAGGGTGCATGTCTGAAGAGCCAGGTTGGGGGGTTTCAGGGTATCAGATAAGAGCAGGGCGGAAGGGAGCCCCACCTGCCTCAGGATGGTGGGTGGAGATAAGAGTGGGGATCTGTGGGTGGGAGAACTGGATGAACCCCCACAATGGCTTTCTCTGTGAAGTAGAATCAAGATGCCTCAGATACAACGGTTCTCTAAGAAATCCATCTGCCCCACTTTCCTCTCCAGCTGGGGTCCTTTACTATCAACAGAAAGTGTCCCCATAGGCTCAACACTCTAGCCTGAGGTAGTGAGGTGGGCGCCTTCCACCCCCATGACTCTCTGCCTCCCCCAGCCAACCACAGCCAACTGCTGAAGGCCTGAGGAGAAACAAAGTCCACAGGCCACATCCTGACTGCTAACTGCATTATGGTTTAATTTTAACCCCTCACTAGCAACCACTCTCTATCAACACAACCGTATCTTTTTTCTCCTATGTACCACTGACTTTGATGTTCACTTTTGGTCAGAATACAGAACCTTGGATCAGAAAGCCCCTCCATTTTTGGTTCTGGTGTCATTCTGTTTTCTCTGTTCCCTACCGTCTGCTCAGAGCCATTTTCCCTTAAGGACAAGGATACATAATGACTCCCCCCATGATGCCAAGTAAAAAATGACTTGGGACCAGTTCTGGCCACCTCTGAGCTCTGATATCATGATAGCAGGAGACCACATTGGCCCTCAGTGGGGTCACAGAAGGCTGGCATTGGCCGAACAGCAGCTCCCCTTCCCTCAGCCAGAAGCAGTGGCAGAAGCAGGGAGAGCAAGCTAGGCAGCTGAGGAGCCAGGCTAAAGGATACATCAGTCTTGGGGTGCTGCGAGCCCAACACCAGTACCCAAGAAGGATGCCCCCCACCATCATGTGACCCAAGGCCCTTCTGGACTCACTCCAGGCTACCCCTGCTACCAGCTGCAGTCCCTTGGCCCTTCCCAACCAAATGCTAGATACTTTGAGCCTCTTCCTGGACCACGTGGAGCACAGAGGTTTTCCTGAAGGTTACGCTGCCCAAGTCAATGCTGCAGGTGTAGAGTCCTGCGTCAGACTCCTTCACTGTCTGGAGCCTGATGGTGCCATCATTGTGGGCAATGTCCCCGACCAGGTCTACACGGTTTTGGAAGCGGCTCCGGTATGGGGTGTACCTCACAGGATTGTTGACATTATAGAATAGGACAATCTCCTCCTAGAAGAGAAAGGCAAAAAGCATGAGATTTCTAGGACTGGTAGGGCAGAGGTACGGGGAGGACAAGGATGGGGTGGGAAAATGCCAGAACTCACAAGACCCTGTTATATGAAAACAGAAGGGTATCATCAGAGAGAGGATGGCGGGTGACACAGAGTTGTGTACACACATGTGTACAGGTATGTGTGTCTATGAAGGTCATCACTAAACCGTGAAGATAGGGATTTTTTAAAAACTGACAATATTGCCGGCCAGATAGCTTAGCAGATTAAAGTGCCTGTTTAGGCAGGTGCAGGGACCAGGGTTTGATCCCTGGCTTGTGCTGACCCCACCCCAGGGCACGCTGAGACAGCGATTGAGACTGGGCGTGGTGGTACAGGCCTGTAATCCCAGTGCCTGGGAGGCTGAAAACAGGAGGATCACTTTGAGTCTGATCTGTGTAGTGAGACCCTGTAGAGCCTGTACTAAATACGTTAAAAATTAAAAATAAATAAAAACTGAAAATAAAGGACTTTTAGCCAAGTATAGTAGCACAGATCTATAATCCAAATCTTTTAGGAGGCTGAGCTAGGAGGACCTCAATTTCAAGCCAGACCAGGCATCTTAGTGAGACAGTGTCTCAAAATCAAATAAAAATATAAAAAGGGATGGGAGTACAGCTCAGTAGTAGAGCACATGCCTATGTTTCTCCCATACATATTTTTTTAAAAAGCTTGTACACTTTTGGTTTTTTATGGTATTTCCAGTTGGACTTCAAACAAGCACCCAAAACATGTCCAAGTTTGAACTCCTAATGGCTCCTCTAAACCAGTTCTTTCCAGTTAGTAGCTTCCAGTCAGTAGCTTGCAGTCAGCATCTTCCAGATACTTAGGTTAACATCATTCTTAATTCTCTTTTTTGAGCTACTCACACTTAACTCCTCAGTAAATCCTGTCACATCTACCTGCGAACTACAGCCTGAAGCCACTTCTCACACCGGCCCACCCACTGCAATCCTAGTCCAAACCTCCACCTCCCTCTCCCCTGGATTCCTCCAGGGCTTTCTCACCTGGCTCCCTACTACCCATCCTCTTCATGTGTGTCTGTGAAGGGTTTTCAAGGTCTGTGGAGGGTTTTCATGTGTGTCTGTGAAGGTCATCACTAAACCATAAAGAAAACCCAAGTTCCTACATGATCTGCCCTGGTGCCCTGTGCCTCTCTGATTTTGTCTTTTCTTGTTCGGCCCTCCCCAGCCCCAGTCATGATGGCCTCCTTGCTGCTCCTTGGTGCCCAGCCTCGGGTTCCAGCTACTTGCTGTTCTCCCCCTGCCTCAGACATGAAGTGGTTCCCTCCACTCACTTTCCCAGCCCACTGCTCAGACGTCACCCTGGCAAGGCCACCCCACCACCACCACTGCACACAGCACTGCGTTACAGTTCTCTGTGGTTCTTACTACCATCTGGTATGTATACACTTCTTTGTTATCTTATTGTTTCTGCCCTCCACCAGACAGGGCTTGGGGCTGTTCATCACAAAGAGCATGCTTTAAAAATACTTGATATGAGTCTGGGCGTGATGGCTCATGCCTGTAATCCCAGCACTAGGGAGGCAGAAATCAGGAAGAGCACTAGGAGTCTGAACTGTGTAGTGAGACCCTGTACATGCACACAAAATAAATAAATAAATAAATAAATAAATAAACAAACAAACTTGTTAAGTGAATGAGTGCTGGAATTTTTTATGAAGGCATGTAGATTTGTTTTTTGAACACTTTTAAGAAAAAGTAATCGATACACAGACACAGACAAAAATGGAGAGGCCTAACCTCTGGTTTCTGCTATGAAACATTTGACAGATGACATTTAAGTGCATAATGAGAGCTGGATATGTGCCTGTAATCCCAGGACTGTGGGAGGCTGAGATAGGAAGATCACAAATTCAAATCCAGCTTGGGCAACTTGGTGACATACAAAAAAAAAAAAAAAAAA